TTTTTTTTCGACTTCACTATTTAAACAGGCGTATTTTTCTACTATCGTCTTTTCTACATTTATTTGTGTGACACGTGTCTATTCGATTAATAAGATTCCCATGAATACAAAAGACAGATAAGCTTATTTCTATGAGTGAATTCGTGCAATGACAAAACGATTTACTATTGTTACACGTATGTGATACAATTTGATTACTTGACTTAATTTCGAAGATTACGCATTTTGATACAGAAATCGCTAACAGACTCTGTCAGGTTGTTAAATTTCTATAGAAATATACTAAGTAATCTAAATTTATTCAGTCCAGTAATCTTCATGCTATATAAAACATCCATAGTGTTGTGAGAAATCTCATAAAAGAATCTTCAATATGATTTTACCGAAGAATTTCAGGTATATTATCAGCAAAAAATAAATGTTCTTTTTGATATTTATCAAAAAATTCTGCAAATTTCATTTGAGTTCGTTGACGTTGTGTCATTGATTCAACATAAATATTTGCTTTTGATAATCCTTCAACTTCATTTTCAAGTTGTTCATCTGTTTTCCATATATTATAATACTGATCGTTAATTAATACTTGACGAGATAGAATTGGTTCAGATTTTGGTAGATAATATGTAAAAAATTTTAATATATTTGGATATTCTCCATTGATTTCTTCAATATTTATCAATGATCCTACTGTACCAAATGGTTTTAGATGACCGGGATTTGAATGACTTGATAATGTAAGGTTAATTAGGGAGACCAAGAGAATTAATATGAAGGAATACATCTAAAATAAATCGATTTTTTTTATCAACCATCCGGGGATATCATAAACAGATTATAGCTTCTAATAGACATATTAAAAAAATTAAATGTATATTTTTAAGAGAAGGATTAAGACTCGTTTAAAATCCAATTGAAAAAATAAACACAAACTAGTCTGTCTGTCTGGTAGAAACAAATGATTCTGTACGATAAACAATTATCCAATAAAAATATGATATGTGTCATCCTATCGATGTCGCTTGTGTGTAGAACTATGCCATAACACCTCGACTTAATGAAGAATCATATAAAATCAAATAAGCTTATATATATATATATTTCACGGTCACATATCAAAATAATCTTAAAGACATATTCTCAATCACACTGTAGTTTCCTATGTCGAGCAATCGATTTTTCTATCCTATTTACTTGATAATACTTGAAATTACTTTCATAAGGCTATTCGTAGCACTCCATAGTAGATTTCACTTCTATTATTACTATCAAAACTACTTTTATGTTAAGGTCCGTCAATCCATAAAACATTAATCCAACTCAAATGAGTCTGTTCAAACCTCAGATCGAGGTATTACTCATGCACCACTCACTACATTTTCAAAGATTTTCATACCAAACATATAATTATTCGTGTGTAAAAATAACGATTCTTATCAATTCTATTTACATCCCAATTACTATCATTTATTTGGCAATTCAACACAGAATTATATTTTTATTCATATCTCTTATACTACTCTTCAATGATAAACATCAATGTCTTGATTATTCGATCTAAATAAAACTTCATCTTCTACTATTTATTTTCAATTAATATCTCCTTATCGAAATCTATCTACTCAACTTTTATACATATCCAGTAGTTTTTACTATTTTATCTCTATGTTTCATGATCAAGATTATTTAGTTCTAATAATATCAATAATAAATAATTTCTCATTCGTTTCCTTTTCTGTTTTTAAGAAAATAAAATTCTTTGATTTCTACATTTAATATCATTTAGAATCAAAATCAGCATTCATTTTTGTTTCTTTTTCACATCTACAAAAAAAACTCTAATATTTTTCTCATATTATTAAGTGCACCTTTTGTTTTACTATTTTTATCTCCTTTTTTTACTCGTTCTCTTATAAACTATGAATATTACAAGATACATATTATACACTCATCAAACACGCAATAAAGTAACGTCATTAATACACTCTCTTAACTATTCTCATGCTAAATATAAT